TCGAGAAGAGGGAGCTCAAAGGGAAGCAGACAGACTGACGTGCACAGACGGCTGGACTGAGAGAAGAAAGGGAGAAGTGAAGCACGAAGAATGAGGAAGAAAATGAGAACGATATCTCCTGAAGAGATATTACGAGGAGGCGTTGAGTCTGCTGGCGGAGGAAGAAAGCGGCTCATTGTTGGAAGAGCGGGAGGAAAGCATGAAGAAAGGAGACCATTGTTAGCAGGGCCGGCTCAGCAGATAAGCCTCATATTTAGGAGGAAGGACGATGAGGATGAAGAGTCGCTGCTGGAGCCAAACAGGGATGGAGTGAAGGGAGGGAATTAAGAGAGAGGAAAGGAAAAGTTGGACAATAAAGAGGAAAGTCCAGTGGAAAATGTGAGGAAATGGGAGGTATAGATGAACAGATGGGTGGAGAAGTTGAAGAAAAGAGGGTGGATGGTAATAGGTGGCCAGAAGCCAGGTGGATGTTTACAAGAACTCCATTTCTGCCTATTTTTACTTTTAAAATATGGCTTCAATCCATAGCAGGCTTATTCCCACTGTGGGAGTCCTGGAATGGCAGCGATATGAGGCGTTATGCTGGAAAGCCTGTAACTTTGATCAGAAACAGCAGGTTAGCAGGAGAAAACAGGGTTACTCCGAGAGAAAAGGAAAGGTCTAAACCGGGCCAATGATGCTGTGGCTGAAATTCAAATACAGAACCTGGGGAATACTTCTGGTCACACAGAAATTCCCCCTGCAGCCTAGCAAATACTCAATACCCTGAGCTTCAATTACATGGCAAAAATAAAACCATTGAAGTGATTCTTAAGGTTTGCTGGATCCTGAGCCTAAGGGAAAACAGGACACAGAACCAGAGCTTGCTTACCCTTCAGTTTTGGTCCAAACTGAAAAAAGGGGTGCAGCCTCAGCTACGAGGCTTTGGTTTATGTTATAAAGCCGGATGGGAAAGATGATTCCCAGAGCTGAAATAGATTCCAGGAAAAATGGACCTTTACTATTAATGGTTCTATTTTGGGAGCTACGGTACATGAGGAAGACATTATGACTGTGGATCAGAGCTATGATGTCTTTAAATAACCATCTGCACAAGTGTTATTTTAAACATTTACAAATACACCCAGATGCAGCTGTATTACACTGTTATATGATGAAGAGTGCTTAAGGCAGTAAATCAGACTCCAAGCCTGCAGCACACTCTGAGCTCTCCTGTTAAACTGGCAGCAGGTCAGAAGCCAAGAGAAGCTGGTCAGCACTGGTTCCAGCTGCGCTGCACAGATCCAAACAGCCAATGTTTGCCTGCAAAGGCAAACATTGAGTCTGCTGCTGTGGGGAGACGGGTGCAACAAAAATAACTAGGAGTCACTGCATGTGTGAGGATCAGGGAAACTTTCGAATGTCCTGGCTCCTGGAATTGGGAGAGGGGACCTGGTTGATGTCCATGCCACCATCCAACCTCCAACAAGGTCAGGTGAAAGGCTGTGAAAAGTTACTATGAGGATTTCTGTTGTATTGAACAGAAAACTTCAGGAAAAAACTTAAATACAAAGTGCATTTTTCTCAGTTACGAGAGCAGGTCCTCTTCGTGGATCCCTTCACCTTGAATGAAGATGTCCTTACAACATAAAAGGTTAACCAGAGCTGCACAATCTTCCCGTTATCTTGTTGAGGTCTTGAGATGCTCCATATATTACTAAACAATTATATAATTGACAAAGAACGATATCATGCACAACTGCAATTGTGTCTATCAAAGTGTATCACACAAGATGTTAGTTGAACCAGTTCCAGACCGATTAAAGAGTGAGTTTTCAGTTTATATGGATTAAGTGAATAGAATTATTATTTTAAAGAATTTACTAAATCTATATGCAGTGCGAGCAAATCAGTCATACTGTTAATTTCCGTTGTTGGCTCACAGACAGGTGCATTGCTAGCTAAAAACAGATAATCCAGCATTAAATATTAAACAATGTTGGCCCTGACACACAGGGAAGTACATTGTAGCATAAATGACACATCAAAGCCTCAAGTACAGTATCCACTCTACTGTATATCCACATATATTGTAATGATGAGCTTTCCAATTGAACCCTAATCGGCACCCATCAGCCAAGTGTTGCCGCAGAAGACCCGACAAAGCCGCTGTGAAGGCAGCGAGAGGGAGAACAGCCATGCAGGGTAAAATCAGCCTCATGCCAGTGAGGCATGATAATGTCTCACTGTGTTTCACGCCTGTCCCTTCTAGAGACTACAATGCATTTTGAGCAGATTTTGTTGCACGGCGGTGGCTGTCAGCATAGCGTACAGTGCTGATAGTCATGGTGGCACTGCGGCTGATGTGTCAGAGGAAATGATGAAAGAAGCTCCAGCTCTGATGAGATTAGAACTCGTTTCCTTTTAATTAAGTGTTATAAGTCGGGGCCAAACAGATGTGCCTCGCTGCAGCACTCAGGTTGTCATTCATTCTTTAAACTCAACATTAACATCTATTATGGTGAAAACGTGTTCCTCTTTAAAGCATGGCGTTGGAGTGGTTTCTGAGGTGATTTCCCTGCAGTAAAGTTCCTGAACGAGGCATTAAACTGCAGCTCTCAGAGGTTATCACTTTGCTCTGAATAAATTACCTCAGCTTGTTGCTTCTCTCCGGATTGTTTCCGTCCTTAGCTGTCCTTGCCACCACCTTTAATAGCTTCGCAGAAAGCGGTTTAGTCCCGTTTCTGCCTGGTGCCTGATAAATCTTGCAGAAAGCAGGGTTTTCCTCGCTTCTTTGAGCTTGCTCGGGCTCCATCCTTGACTCTGCTGTTTGGGAGTCTGCAAAAGAGAGGACAAGATAACCTTTGGGGTCGAACATCAAGCTACTTTGCTATGAAACATTGTTTGGCTTCTGAGATTTTAATTATTTTCTTGTTTGTTTATTTTAAAGAAAAACCCAAAGCTCAGAGTTACAAAAAAATATAATTCAACCCTACACCTTCTCAGAAAGAGAGGAATTTCAGTCATTTAATCGCTCAGTCACTCTAAGAAATTATCTAAATTACTCTGCAGCTAAAACTCATTGGCAGGAATTTTCAGGCCAATGTAGGAGAGCGGGGTTAATCTATGAATCTTTGGGAATATGGCACAGACCTCGACCATTATCCACAGTAGGTGAACATGGCTCAGTGTTTGCCTAATTTTATACCAGCTGAAAGGTTTGGTGTTTATTTTTCACCTCTGAATGGATACATGTTTGTTGTATCAGAAATCTCCACTTATTTTCTGCTAGAAAAATGCTGCCTTTATTTCCTGATGAGTGTATCCATATTGTGACTGTGTGTTAAGTCTCTTATTTAGGTGTTCCACCTTTGCAGTCCTCCAAACCAGTCCATTACCATAAATATGGGCTAGTTTTAAAGTTTAATTAGGCATTCAGAAAAAAAGTCTCAATCTAGATGCATCAATTAATAGTTATTTTTCTTTGACTCTTTCAGCTCATCTTTACATTATTTGGCTTTGTTAGACCCTTCTTTTATAAGCCATTGCTCTACCAGAGTAGTGAAAGCTCCAAGCCAGCCGCTGTAGCCCATGATCCAGCAACCGGTAGGGCCTCCTTTATGGTCAGCCGGTAGGGCCTCCTTTATGGTCAGCCGGTAGGGCCTCCTTTATGGTCAGCCGGTAGGGCCTCCTTTATGGTCAGCCGGTAGGGCCTCCTTTATCGCCACCCCGTAGCGCCTCCTTGATAATCATCTGTGAATCTTAGCTTTAGCTCAATCGCCTGATGGGATCTAGACTCCTTGGTAGATGGAGAAGTGCTATAAATGCAGGGTCACCAGGTTCTGCACTGCAAAAACAATCTGAAATTAAGTAAAAATGTCTTAAATCAAGTGTATTTACCCTTAATTTGAGCAGGTAAATAAGATAGATTGCCAATGGAATGAGTATTTTTACACTTAAAATAAGTCAATTAGATAATATGCACTTGAAATGAGACAATGCAATTGATTTTTCTTATTTCCAATGTAAATTGTCTTGTTTCATTGGCAAAGTGTCTCATTTACCTCCTCAAATCAGGATAAAATGCACTTAATTTAAGAAAAAATGACTCATTTAGATTTACATTTTTTGCAGTGTGTGGCTGGAGTTGAATGGTTGTTCTTGTTTTGTCACATCTGTTGTTGCCATGATAAAATCTTCTCAATTACTCTGTTCCCTATCCTACAGTTTTATTAAATCAAAGCTTTGTCACCTTTACCCACCCAGAGAGGTGTTGAGCCTTTGGAGAATTTCTGAAGAAGAGCAGCACAGCGTTACTACAGTAGGCATGGCATTATTTGGAGCGCTGTTGGGTCGGAAGACCCACTGTCTCCAGGACAATCAAAGTTTAGAACATCTGATTCGAACCACTCCTTTCACCCTGCCTCTTTGTTTTCCTTTGTACGTGCTGCTTCTTAGCTGGTTAGAGCAGTAATGATGCATCCTGGGAACAGTGTCCCTGCATAATTTATCAACCAGGATTTATTAGCCACAGAATTAATTTGTTGAAGGGGTGGGGATTCAGACTCTTGTTTTGAATTTATTTTTACGGTTGCATTGTCACTCCCCAGTGATCTATTTCTCCCCATCAGCCACCTACCCATCTCATAATTGGCCAACTTATTTTCATTTTTGGCGAAAAAGGTGGGGGTGAGGGAGTTGTGAGTGACTAAAATTATTGTTTAGTTACAGCAGGTATCCAAAACAGATACAGATTTGCAACTGATTGATGGTTCGTGGAGTCTCTCCGGAGTTCACAAAAGTTTTCTTTAGAGAAGACTGACTGAGAAATGCAGCAGGTGAACATTTGGAAATCATTAAACTCTGGGTAAAACTCATCCTAGACATTTTCTGCAGTGTTGCCAAAACGAAAAACACTTATTTTAATAATTATTCCTGATCAAAAACACCAAATACTTTGTATGTAAAAGCTTTTGTATCTTGGAACATCTGTTAATTCCCTCCATCTTTTTTTCCTCCAGGTGACGGAAATGGGAAAGGATTCCCTGCCGTCCTGGCTCCACTGGGATGTCGACAGTAGAATCTTGCGGGGGCTCCCTCTGGATGAGGATAAAGGAGTTCACTACATCTCTCTTACTATTTCCAACCACACAAAGCCCTCCTCTTCCTCCACCTCCTCCTCATCAGAGGTGTTTTCCATCGAGGTTCACCCTGAAGACCACTTTGATTCAGACTCATCTCAGCTGCTGTCCAACCAGGCAGCCGTGGAAGATCACATCCAGCCGTTCACCTGTGGCAATGAGGAGCCAGTCACCATCCTAACGGTGATTCTGGATGCAGATTTAACAAAGATGAACTCCGAGCAGAGGGTGGAGCTCCTTGAAAACATGAGGAGCTTCTCAGGAGTGGAGCTCCAGCACATGAAGATGCTCCCTGTGGTTAATAACAGACTGTTTGACATGTCTGCATTTATGGCAGGACCGGGCAACGCAAAAAAGGTCAGTGGATGAAGATTTACTTTTACATCATTGTATGTCCCAATACTTTCGTAAACCTACCAATTGACATTTGTCTCACAAGCTGTAGATTGTAATTTCTTCTAATTTTTACTAAATTCTGACTATATTCTTCTACATTTTGGGCACCAGCCTGTGCATCAAATTCTGACTGAAGACACATTCTTGTCTCTTTAGTTTTGGAAACTGGTACCAGTTTGTTGCTGGGATTATAATCAAAGCCAAAACTTGACATTTTCTGATCTTTAGCCACTGTAACATTCCCATTTTTTTTTTTTACTTTTGTTGATTTTCGGGCTGACGTGTTTAACTAGTAGATCAATTGAGAGTAAAATTAGATGCCCCAAGTCAGTCATTCAGCTTTTTCAGCTATAAAAGGTTCCTGCGCCCTACAACTACATCTTGTTCAACATTTGATTTCCTCTACTTAACTTTGAATGAACATTAAAACATGACTTCATATCTTCATTAATGGTGTTTCTTTTCACAGGTTGTTGAGAACGGGGCGCTTCTTTCATGGAAACTTGGCTGCTCATTGGACCAGACCACTGTTCCAAATATAAACAGTGTCCAGGATCCAGCTAAAGAAGGGACAATGTCTGCCAGGTTGGGATACCCTGTGGTTGGATGGCATATTGCTAACAAGAAGCCACATGTCCCAAAGCGCGTGAGAAGGCAGCTGAACATCACTCCCACGCCTATTCTTGCTGTGCTTCCTCCGACAACAGCAGTGGAACCTCCAGTGAGGATTGTCCCAACCCTCTCTTCTCCTTCTATTGCTTCACCTACAGAAAGTTCTGCTCCCCCTGTACGAGGCCCTGTACCCCTTCCTGGAAAGCCCACCAATAAAATTCGTGACCCTATTGCTCACACCCCAACCTTGGGGCCACCTCAACCAACAAGGGTAGTTGAGACCACCAGCACGGTTTCCATTCAGCCAACCATGACCAGGCCAAACTATGTAGAAGCCACTCCCACATTACCCACTCCACCAAAAAAGACCACCAGGAAACCACCTAGAAGGCCCAAAACCACTCCAATGACCCCCAAGTCCACTACCCCCGCCACAAGTACACCATCACCTGATGTCATACATGATCCATTCAATGAAAAGCCAGTACTGAGGAATCCCATAGATCAGGTTAATGCACTAGTGGGCACCTATTTCGAGGTTAAAATTCCCTCTGATACATTCTTTGATAAAGAGGATGGTACAACAGACAAGCTGCGTCTGACCCTGAGAGAGAACCACAAGGATGTGGTTGGAGACGAATCCTGGATCCAGTTCAATACCACCAGCCAGCTGCTGTATGGCCTTCCTGATGTTCAGCACATTGGGAAACATGAGTACTATATGCAGGCAGAAGACAAGGGTGGCCTCAAAGCCATTGACGCCTTTGAAGTCAGAGTAAAACGCTGGCCTCTCAACGACAAAACACCAGTCATATTTACTGCCCGCTTCGAGGGAGAGCCACGTATGATTACTAACAACATCCACAAGAAGATTCTTCTGGTTAAGAAGCTGGCATATGTACTGGGAGACCGCAACAGCAGCACGGTGAGTTTAAGGAATATCAGCAAGGGGTCAATTGTGGTTGAATGGACAAACACCAGCCTCCCCCAGCACCCATGCCCAAAGGAAATACTCAGAGACATGAGCAGGACCCTTGGAGATGCAAGTGGGAAACCCTCACAGAAGTTTAAGAACTACATGGGGCCTGAATTCAGTCCAATTAAGGTTGAGGTGAGGGGCAAAGCAAGCTGCCGAACATACTCCTTCATCCCACCAGCAGAGATTGATATCCCAGAACCTTCTGCAGTTACTCCAGGTCTTGGATCAAGCCGGGACAGCACTGATGATGTCTATCTTCACACAGTAATTCCTGCTGTGGTAGTTGCAGCCATCCTACTCATTGCAGGAATCATTGCGATGATCTGCTACAGGAAGAAGCGGCGGGGCAAGCTCACCATTGAGGATCAAGCCACCTTCATCAAGAAGGGAGTGCCTATCATTTTTGCAGATGAGCTTGATGACTCCAAGCCTCCCCCATCCTCCAGTATGCCCCTGATTCTCCAGGAAGAAAAGCCCCCTCTTCCTCCCCCTGAATATCCCAACATGGCTAGTCCAGAAACGACTCCCCTCAATCAAGAGTTGCTAGGGGAGTACACAGCTCTGCGAGATGAGGATCCAAATGCCCCTCCCTACCAACCACCTCCTCCCTTCACCACTCCCATGGAGGGCAAGGGCTCTCGTCCAAAGAACATGACTCCCTACAGATCTCCACCCCCCTACGTGCCCCCCTAAGACTTATTTGCCCCTCACCTGAAAGGGTGGAGGGATGCTCCAGGAACTGTGCTGGTTTCTGCTGTTTCTGTCTGGACTTTTACAGGAAGATATGTCAAGAGGTGCTAAAGTTCCAAAAACAGGAGATTATGGTTTGGGTGGGGGTATAGGATGTTGGAACTACTTTGAGGGACTACTGGTTCTATGGTAGCCCACATTCTGCAATAGCCTGACAAGTCTCATAACAGTGGGCTTTCGGTTCAACCAAGCTTCTGAGAAGAAACAACTGGGAGAGCTGCTCTCCCTTCTCAGCATTTTTTCTTAGATTTGAATACTGGATTCTACTTTGTTTTCTTCTTTTCCCAATAACACTTTCTTTTTCACTGGACTGAAGTGTTGCCTAACAGCCTTTATTGTGTCCTGCTTTTAAACAACACAAGAAGAGAACAACAAACTGTCGCCAGACCTCTGCTTGGAGACACTCGTCTTCTAAAAACAGCGTCAGATTCTCTTCCAAATCAGAGAATCTCAGATCACCCCTGCAGACGATGCAAGAGACGGGGAGGCCGAAGTGTACGCGTGTGAACGAGTATTTGTGTGCGTTTATTCGGATTCATAACGGTTTGCCTTTTAACACTATTTATCTGTTTTTATCCTTATTCACAATGTCTAGTTAGGCTGAGAATAACAAGGTAGCCTAAAAAGATATAGAGAGGAGTAGTCATGTTCTGTTTGTTTTTAAAATCATAAAATTTCTGGAAGACATCTTTTTTCAGGAGGGTAGAATGAATTGCAGAAGACTGATTTATCTTCTGTAATGCTAGACATTTTTTTTCTCTTTTCAGTTCTTCTACAATTAAAATCAGCCACAACTTGTCCTGTTGGATAATAAAGACGTAAGAAAAAAATGAGTGGGGTGGGCCTCATGGTCTCAGCTGCTGACCACAAACATTTCAACCAAAAAATGCATCCCAGCTGACAAAGTTACCCAATATTGTAACCACAGTGGCAAGGAAATACTATGGAATTTTCTCTTAATTAACATTGATAACATTGGAGACCAGTTTTGGTAAGAATAAAAACACAAACGTGAGAAAAGTATATCCTCTTAGTACATACTGTGCCTTTAGGTTTTATAAACTATTAAAAAAAGGTCAGAATCACCCATGTTTAGGACTTTTGGAATGGTCTAAAGAGGAGATGGATTTCCAGTCAGAAATAACTTGTACCTTATAGTACATGTTTCTGAGCATGGATTAGGTTATTTCCTAGTGATTCTACAATTTCCATAATCTTTATAATTTGATCTGGAAATGTTTCCATCTTTGGTCTCTAAATAAATAACTCCCAATTTCTAACATCTTCAAAACAGAACATGTATAAATCCATTGCTATCTGGTTCCACCAACCCTGCTAATTACCAATACACTCCCTAAAGTTTTTCTTTTAGAACCAAGAAGGAATAGCCCAATTAGATTTTGGTCCACATGTTGTGGTTAGAAATCACTGTCAGTGATTCGCACAGAGACAGAAGGTACATCATAGTTTTAGTGGGCAGTGTTGCCAGCCCATGATACGTTCACATTGTGCAGTTCTTAAAAAGGTTGGGTTTAGCTGTTTTTACATGATGAAAGTATATCTGTAGCCTATGTCTCACAGGCTGCACAATGAAACCAATCAGCCTCATGTATACCCACAATGTGACCCTGAGAAAACTCCGTCGGGTGCTGGTTATGATGCTTTGCATTTTACAGGCTGTACCTGACTGTCAGACCAACTATCTGACAATCATTCGGCTCCACTCTTGATGCCACCACTGTTGCCCTCTTATTTGCATTATAAATGCAAGATTTCCTGTGATTGGGATCCAAACACTATGCGTACCTTGTTACCATCTAACTGGACAATCCCTTCTGAGTTCTTAATGTTTTTTGTCAGCATTATGAGTATTGGTTAAGATTATATTCCATAGATGTCCAGCCCAGCCTTTTTTTTTCTCCAGTACAAACAACCCAGGATGTTCTCAAAGCCAGGGATAGATATTTTTCTATGTGCCACTGGGACTCTCCCAGAATTGTACCTTTTTTTTTTTTCTTATTTTTCTGAGCACAACAGAGGTGATTTCGGCTGAGATTTAGAAAAGGAAAGATTGATTCTAACCAGTAGCTCCCAGAATTATTTTTTTCTACTACTTTCGCCTCAAATTGTTTATTAAAATGATCTGAATTGATAGTCTCCTATGATTTGTTAAAGTTTTAGTTTAGTTCATTCATGATTCAGTTATTTACACTTTGTTTTTTTGTTGTTTTTTTTGTCATGGGTCACATTTTGGTGTGTTTGTGTCTCTAATGTATCTCCTGAACACAAAGACGGAAGGACCCGTGCGTTCTGTTTTAGTTCTCCACCCTTCTGTCCGAGTTTGGATTGAAAATGACCCTTTGCAATAACGGTGTACGGTGCGGTCCGTGAAAAGACTGCTCCATGCAGCCTCACACGAGTGACTCGGTCATGACGGTTTTTGCAGGAAGCCAAGGCTTTTTTTGCTTATCGAGTGTGCATTGTAATAATAAAACCAACTGGTACCTTAATCAAACTAATGCCCACCTTGTCTTTATTTCATTCACCTCGTCTTTGTAGGATCTGCTGGGAGTTCTCTGGCCATGATGTCTTGTCCTTTCGTATTGCCTAACCTAACCTGACTGTCTGTGGGGAAGCTTTTCAATCCTTTGGGCTTCCCTACTGCTCCAACTTATCCTTGAATTGATTAACTCACCTGTCTGAAGCCCGCAGGAGATTTTAGCTCCTGTAAAATGCTGTTGGGAACGATGATACTGCTGTCCATTTTTTTTTCTTCAAGATTGTTTGACTGGTTAAACGATTAGCTCCGGAAACTCCATCTGATGAAATTGCTGTATTTACAAACTGAATACAAATGATTTGTGCTGATATTGATCAGATTGATTATTTGTAAACAGTTTACCTTCTCCTTTGCCCCATGCTGATAAGGCATGACAGAGTTTAATTTGGAGGAGGGTGAAGCAATGATGAATGAATTTCTGATGCGTCTTCGGTTACTGAGTTGGAGAAACAGACCTCAGGGATGATCAAGATTAATGAAGGATTGATCTTAGTTTGATTGGGGCGAAATGTGAGGTGAGTCTCTGCTGTCCAAATAAATCAGCAATATGTTTAGCTGTCGTAATGTGGGTCAATCAGCAAATCCCTGGCTGCAAACAAGGTAAAACTGAAAGAATTGGGTCTCGTTTAGTCAGAAAACATACATTTTTTTTTTAGATTATTGGGTTCTAATCCAGCAAAATTTCACAAGTTTTTTTTGTTTTGTTTTACGAGGTAAATGACATAAAAAAAAAACAAAACAACTTTCATCCCATATTACACCGCAGCTTAAATCTGGAGATGACTAGTGGTTTAAGATGACTTTGAAAAGGCTGAGCTTGAAGAAACGGCTTTCTGTATGACTCAGTGACAGATTTAGGTCTGTTAACCTCCCCAACCCACACACACGGATATAGGCTTTTAAATGGATGTTCTGTTCTGTCAAAGCCAGAGGTTTTCACATTTGCCACATCAATCTAAGGTTTGGATGATGACCTTTTATTCGTAAAAGCTAGACCTTTTAGCACTTGTCAAAAGACTTGTGGTTGATTCATTAATGCTTGCAAGCTGTGGCTTTTTCAAGGATGTATATATGTGTGTGTGTGTGTGTGTGTTTATATATAAATATATATTTTTAAACATCCTACAGATATTGTTCTGTTCACCATCTTTTAGCTAAACCTGGATTTGAGCAACAAATCCATGCTTGTTTCTTTAAGATATCAACATATCCCTACTTTTGCTAGAGATCAGCTTACCCGTGGGTTGGGGGTTAGTGGGCCATTTCCCCTTGAAGATGCTCATGCCTCTGTTTATTCCCAGTTCTTTTGCCTGGAGTGATCACTCTCCATCCTAAAAAGGACATCTCTCAAACAACACTTTAAATTTATCATGATTTAATCCAAGTTTAGCAGACGGTGCTGGGCTCATGTCTTGTGTCAAAAGAACGAAGATAAAGCCTGATGATGATTCCTGTTGGTCCTTATACTGCAGTTATATTAGTAAACTCTGTCATGCCAAGTTGGTGTCACTCTGACAGGGTGTGTCATTATGTCCAACCCCTATATCGTATCTGGCCCGATCGCTCTTCACTGCCATAGCTACAGGCATATGTTCCCTTTTATTAAACCTGGCCCTTGAAAAGAGTAACTGTTTTATTATCTACATAGGCTATTATATCTATATAGGCCGACTCATATCTTCCCATTCTTTTCTGCTAAGCTTGTGACTTGGTAATGATGATCATTTATATTCTGACAAAATGGGTCTCTGCTTCAACAAATCCAATTTCTGAGGGAGATATAATAAACATTACGATTTATGTATTATACTATGGGTAGGAAAAATAATTAATGGAGAAATATATATTTCTATATTTAACAACCTAGGTGTTTCAGAATTAAACAAGCCTTTAGGGTTGATAAAGATTATTCCTAACATTAACCTATTTACATCTGAGCAGGAGACAAACTTCCAGGCAATAAACACAAGAAGCAGCAGCAATTCAATCAATAGTGTTAAATCTTAATGGTGTCGTGCCAGTCCATTTAGTTTCTATACATAAAAAGCTGCTAATAAAGTTCTATGGCTAGTTTAACTTCTTCAAAACTCAATATTTAAAGGGCCAATTGAATGAAACTACTTTATACTATAGAATACAATTACGGTTTCACAGTTTTCAACACATCCATTGTACAAATTCCTTTTTATAAAAGCTGCAAAAAAATGCATCCACTCATCACTATTTTATTGCAGCAAGGAGTAAGAAAATGCATGCTATTGTAAGATAAATTTTTTTCTTTTTTTTTTGTGTCCTGTTTTGCCAATATAGCTGTTGGAATAGATGTTGCTAAATATCTCCAAACTTGTTATATGAAAGCATGTTTAATGTAAATCGGAACAAACTGATATAAAATAGATTTTAATGCTGCGACTAAAAACTGCAATATCATGAGCTGAAAGGGCATTTAAAAGTTGTAAATCCATTGGACCCCTGAAATGTGCACTTGCCTCTATCTAATTTATAAAGAACCTCAGATTTCTGGTAATCCATTTTGTTTCATTTATTTTGTTGTGATTTTAGCTTCATTAGAGCCGATGTTTTAGAGTTCATGCAGATACTTTTTTTTTATGGATTATATCGTGTTATGGTCTGACGAACCATTTTGCTAGATATGTCTACATTGCTGTACTATTTATATATATTTGGATATCTGCACCAGGAGATGAGGGTGACAAATACTTTGTAAATAAGCTCAAAAAAGAAGTGGGTAAAAAAAAACAACTGTGCTATGATTTATGTCTGACTGATCCCAGAGCTTGCAGGGCTACTATGTGGTAGTTAGTGGTCAAAAGCATTAAGTAAATTTTGAATTTCTTTTGAAAATGTTGCAAATTCTGGAAAAGGTCTAGAGAACACTCATAAATCCAAGGCTCTAAGGTCTAGTAAGAAATTTCCTATTTGACCTTATCAAAATAAGTGATGATCTCAAAGCCATGGCATCTGCTGCTGTTTGTCCTCTATCAAGTACAAATTCAGAGCAGCCATCTTCGTTTTATAGAGCTTTAAGCTTCATTCTGTTGAAAATCTTTATTGAGATGCTCATTTTATTTCCCAGCAGGGCTTAGTACTGGCCCACTGTGCCAACAAAACCAATATCTCCTTTAATCACCATTAAGGCTTTAGTTTATGGTTTTCTGTGCAGGTCTGAAGCATCAAACGACAGAGTGAATTCTTCTGGTTAAAACCAGCTTCTGAAAATGTTCTCCATATAAAAGAGGAAAGAAAAAGGCCCATTTTCGGTTGAGTCAGCCCTCTGATAGATTATTAGTTCTCTGTGGAGTTGTGACAGGCTTTATGAGATGTAATTTTAGCTGACTGAATCAGTTTTTTTCAGTAATTGAACAAAGCCATGAAAGGCAGCAGATTGTACCGTTTGTCGGTTGTTCAGTTCATTGTTTGAGAAAAAGCTTTGGTGACCGGGGCTTCATTCTTACAGGTCTATTGGAGGGAAGGTTGATTAAATCCCTCTGAAACC